AGAGCAATATCTAAAACATTAATGTATATGGGTCATAACACAAGTGTCATACATTGTGTAAAACAGCTATTATATTTTCATTTTCTGGGATTAAACAAAGCATCATTAACTTTTATTTCTATTAATACTATTTTCAAGCTCAGTAAACATAAGGAAGGCAAAGAGAATGTAATATATTTATATAAATACTAACAGAGCATCCATACTTTACAAACATGTTTCTACAAGCATTTTTGATAATATGTCTTGTGTTACATAGCTTCTGGTGCCCATTTAAACAATAAAAATAATTTTTTACACTGATTTATTCTGAAGTTCTTGGCAAAAGTTCTTAAGAAGGGTCTTAATGAAAAAAATCCCCAATTCCACACCTCTAAAAAGAAACAAATTGTCATGTCACAAATTTTCTATTTTCCCTCTCATTAATCTTTTTAATTATTTGTCATACAAGGTGAAAAAGAAACAATGTTGCAAGAAATCATTTTATATATTTATTTTACTATTAATATTGCACAATATGTACTAAAATTGCTTCATATATATGTGAGAAAGATTATCATACAGTATAGGCTCTCTGTTAATTAGAGGATGTGATGTTGGCTCTATTTTAAGATAATCCACAAAGAAGGAAAAAATACTTTAATCAGATTTTAGTTAATATTTGTTTTTTAAACATTAAAAAGGTAAATGCTCTTTTAATTTTACTTCACTCAACTTAATGGTTTCTTTTCCTAATGCTTAATCATTTGAAAATAAAAGTAGATGGACATATTGTTTTCAGTCATATATACTTCTATGTGTATAACTTTAATGCTGTTAATAGCAGTCTTATGCATGCTCAAGAAATCACATAGAATTCCTTGAAAGGTAGAGGATTTGCATAAGACAGTACTTGAAATGATACAGAAGTACAGAAAGTATGCATATTTCATTTTAAGTTTTACATGTTTTAAATGTTGCTTTTCTGTAGTTTAATTTTAAGAAAACAATTGCTTACAAATTTCAAAATATAAAGTTGCAATAATTTCCCCCCAGTATTAATATTCTTCTGAGTAAATCAATATAAAATGAAGTTTAGATGCATGCTTCCATATTGCACTAACAATTCTTAAAAATACAATTTAACACTTCCAATTCTAAAAATATAACTTCAAAGTAATTAACATTGATTTCAGTCAATCTTACTCCCAAGTACTGTGCTTAGAAGCGGGATGAAAAAAGTTTATACATTCATATCATATGGATGTTAATGGCTTGCTCTATGTACCTCTTTGTAATAAAGCCTTTCTGTTTTCTGTTTTGCATTTCAATGGTTCCCTCAAAATGTATTGTTTTCCAAAACCACCAAGTGACTTACCTACAACTTGCCATCAAGTTTCCTGCAGTTATAAAGTAGTGATCATGGTCAGACTCAGTTTACTTTCATCACTAAAGCTAAAATTAATAGCATCTTATTTACAATAATATTGTAATTTATTAATGATAATATAGTGTCCTCTGATTTACACCCAGTGTTTTCACTGATTCTTAAATATCCCTTTGCTGTATATTAACAGTGACATGTATTTGAACTACATGAAATAAAAACTTAAAAAAATGTTTTTGTTTTGATATATATTACAGTTGACATCATACATTTTGGCAAGGATTAGATTTTAATTTAACTGATTGTCTTTGCAAAAAGTGTGAGTTGTGACATTTAAAGACCTATGAAACTTACCAGTGTTTCTAATTTATTTTTAAATTAGAAAAGTACAGACTAATTTCTTACAATTTCTTAGATTCACTGATTACAATATATTTTTATCTTGGCAATGCTCACTGTTCAGGGACAAAGATTGCATTTCTTTTGTATTATTAATTCTGTAAGTTCCCAGTCATCATTATCCCTGATGGTCACTCTCTTTTGTGCCTCAAATCCCAGTTTCTTTAGGTCTCTTGTACATCTATCTATCCTTATTTTTTTCTGCAATTAGTCTTTGTAAATAGTCCCCTCTAGAAAAGAATGGCTTGTTTAAGAACATTGTCCTGGTGACACTGGGGCTACTTTGTAGCAAAGTGATTGTTTTTTGTGTTGATCTCAATTAAAAACTATAGTATATATGTAGATTTGATGTAGAAAAGAAATATAAATAAATAAGAAATCAGTTAATATTTAAACTACCACAGTATTTTAAGATTACAATCTTATTTGGACCATTATCTTGTTGGTATTTAATAACAATAATATCTTTCTAGAAATTAGGATTATGGAATTACTGTTCACATAAATACAGGAAGTAATGCTATGTAGTATATGTATTTGAAAATACTGTAGGACTTAATGTAGTAGGATTTACTTCTGAGTCAATATGCACAGGACTAGACTTCATATGGAAACATTTAGATGTAAATGGATTTAATCCCCCAGTCATGGAACTGGCAGTGCAACCCTATGCATAGTTTACCAGAAATTTCTGCTAAATGGGACTTATTTTGTAGTAAGTGTGCATTATGTGCTTGGGTACATGCAAGCATGTTAATAAGATCCCAGCAATCTAATATTTTAAAAAGATTTTATTGAAATTGATGCTTTTCACTCATAATAAATAATATCACATATTTGTAATGTCCAAATTATTTTTTTTGAAGGACTAAATATATATATTTTAAAATGCTATATAGTTTTAAGTATCATTTTTCATTTATAGAATTTTCTTCCTGCTCTGCATGCACACATATACAAAAGTGATTTTAAAGAAAATTATTATGTTGCAAGTTCCAAAAAAAGATTTCTGCTCTGCATTATATTGGGGAATATTCAAATGACAAATTGCTATGTTAATCACTGTTCAGTAATGCTTTCTGTAGGAAATGACACTCATTGTTTTCCTTCCCTTGTCTTCAGTCATCTATTTAGAAACATTCACTTTAGACTTTCAAGGACAGCAAAACTTTAGCCAAGATACCCTACATGCAAAGTACAAGCTCTAATAGTGGGTGATCTGAGGAGGCAGGGTGGGGGTGGGGTGTAAAGAGGCCTGCACATCTCTACTTTGTATAGCAGCTTTTTAGAAACTTACAATGTATATCATAATTATTTTGCAACTAAAAGATAGCAATTCATTTTATATATTTAGGGCAATGTTACAGAATGATACTTTATTTAATACTGTAACTAAAGTATCAGTAAATAAGGCAGGTTTGCAAAAACATAAACATTGCCAAGTGTTGCAGAAAATTGTCTTGCTTATCATTTAATGTGATGGTCAGGTCAGTGGTATCGTGTGTTATTCCTTTCATCTTCTGTATAAAATTAGCAGTCTTGAAATTGCAGAAAAGTTTAAAGTAGTAACCTTGAAATAACAGAAAAGTGAAATGCTGTAGAACTGCAGCTCTTTACTGAGCATATTTTGATTTTCCATTAAATTCAAAGGGATTTATTCCAAACATATATTAGTGGTATTGTCATCCCAGTCTAATCACTTCAGTTTTACGAATAGCTACAATTCCTTTTTTTAGTCATAAGTGCTCATAATGGATACATGAAAAATGGAAGATTTTTCTTTGCTGATTATCCTCAATTTCTTCTGATTTTTATATATATAAACAAACCAACTATTTATTAAAAAACTGAAAAAGATGCCATTTCAAATTACCTTAGATAGCAAGAAAAGTCAGATTGTATCTAAGAGCCTGAGGCAGATTTGTTGGTTTTTCTTTTTTTTTCTTAGCAGTTTAAATGCATATTGATATGCTGTGATATAGTGAAGCCAGGGTGAAAATAATAAACATAATAGGGTCCTGCAAATTTGGGAAATGTGAAGGAATTAAAGTGAAGGAAGTTAAAAGCATCCAAATCATACTGAGTTGTTGGTAATTTAATTGATGTATATCCAGGTAGTTTCCCTGAAACAAACAAGAAACCGAAATGTGTAAATTCTGCAGATGAAGCAAAATAAAATTAATTTAAGATGACTATGAATGGGAAAGAGGTAAAAATAAATCTTGCTGGAATTCCTTAATGTTGCATCCTTAGTCTGACAAAGCGTGTCATGCAGACATGATTAAGATTAAAGAGTACAATAGAATAAAGGAAAGCTTATGCCAGAATAAAATAAAAGGCCATTGGACTCTTGTTCTTCATAAAATAAATGCAGCACATTTCAAAATCAAAGCATTTTTAAATAAGCAGAATCTGATTTAATTGAGACCATGAAAAAAGCCAGCCAATTCTTATTAAAGATATCTGAAATTATTGCCAGTAGGAAAATATTATTAGGTCAGTAAAGAACTGAACCAGTGAGAACAATTATTATAAGCCTATTTTTAACTTTTAAAGTACTACCCAGAATAAGAAATATGAGCTTTGCTTGTGTGTGCGCGGGTGCCTGGGATGACAAAAATAGAAAGCTGCGGCTGATCACATCTCTAGGGCAGGCCCCAGATGATAGCAACTGACCTAACCTTAGGTTTGGTTGCCCGAAGCGCTCTCTCCACTGAGAGGAGTCTGAAATACACGGGAGGGAGGGAGGGGGGGGAATGCAGCGCGGGTGTGACAGAGCCAAGGGCCAGGAATCCATCAGCTCCGTTGGCCCCAAGAATCACAACGGCCTAAGGGGGGAAGTGAGATGAATGAAAACACACGCACGCGCGCAACATTCCTCCCCTCCCCCGCATCTCTCGGGAGCAGAGCGTGGTGTCATCTTTGTATGGCAGCCAAGAAACGTAAAAAAATGAATGCGTCTTGTCCGGGCCTAGTCCCTCCACACAGCATGACTTCCTCAGACAAGAGGGAGGGCGACTGTGCATTCCTCCCTCCCTTCTTTCCCTCCCTGCGCACGCTCCGAATGTGCATCCGTAGGAAATCCCCCCCCCCCAAAAAAGAGGAAGGCTCGTGGGCATCGCGCGCGAGAGACACGGGAGTTTAAGGTCGCCCGCGCTCTACGGACGGCCCATGGTTCTCGCGTGGAGGGAGGAAGAGCGGGGAAGGAGGAGAAAGAGAAGACCGGGGAGTGTAAAGGCCTTCGGTTCTGCGGCCTCTGGCGCGTAGTCAGGCCTTCTCTGAGGAAGGCTTGCAGTGCGCCTGCGTGGAGCGGGCCTTGCTCTCTCTCTCCCTCCCTCTCCCTCTCCCTCTCTCGCTCGTTTTATTGCCTCGCTTCGTGGACCGCAGGGTTTCTGCCGCGGCGCTGGCCCGTAACTTCAGACTCGTTCCTGTTGCCTGAGCTGAAAGACTGACGGATAGTGGCCCGGCCGTGCCGGCGCACGAGAGGAACTTCAAAGAAGCTTCTTCATCACTGTTTTTTCCCCCCTCGCCTCCCTGCCGCCAGCACCACTGGCGCTTCCAGCGGCCATGGGTCCGACATCCCTGTTATGGAGGCGGTACTGGCGGCGGCGGTGGCTGAGTGACTGAAAACCGAGAGTGCTGTGGGGGAGAAGGCAGCGGAGGCCACGGGGGTCTCCCTGGCGGTGTGTGGTGTCGTGCTGACGGTGTTTTTAACCCTTAGATGGTCTCTAGCGAGCCGTTGTTGCTGCCTGTGTCACTGGAGGGCGAGTTCTCCAATAGCATGAAGGAGATGATCGGCGGCTGCTGCGTGTGCTCCGACGAGAGGGGCTGGGCCGAGAACCCGCTGGTTTACTGCGACGGGCATGGCTGCAATGTCGCAGTGCATCAAGGTGAGTGAGAGGGCCCGCCTCGGCCAACCCCGTTCCGCCGCCCATTTACACGGGCAAGCCGCTTCCTGCGGCCTTCCCTTCTTCCTTCGCCCCCGCCACCCCTTCAGCGTCATCTTAGCCCCGATTGCCCTTTCGGAGTATGTATGCACGCTATTGGCTCTCCCCGCCCGATAGCAAAAAGATCGAGTGGCTGCTTGCTCGCAAGCCCAGGCATTGTTTTAGGATCATTATTTTTTAAAAAAACAATGGTAGTACGTTGTGTGTTGTGCAACAGTTGGGAAAGACTCGCTTTTCCTTCTGTTCGGGAATTGCGCGTGTCGTCTTAGGTCGCTACTTCCTTATCCTGCATGTGCCTGCCCCTTCCTCCGCCCTCTGGTCAGAAAACAGGCAGGGTGGGAAAAGGGCTGGGCCGTTAGCAAAACAGTCCACGAATGCAGAGTTCGGCGTAGTGGGAAGACCGATTTGCAATTTTCTCTCTCTGCCTCCTAAATTGGAATCCGTTTTCCCGTCGGCACGCCGAGAGAAAGCTTGCTGCTTTCCTCCCGCAGACTTCTCTTCTTAAACGAGACGTGGAACTAGGTAAAGTGTTTGTCCAAGGGAGAGTTGGATATCATGTGACATCCACCCCCCCCCCACCCGTTTCCCCCACCCTCCAAGCTTGCCAAAGTGTCATTAAGCTGGATCGGGTCGGCTGGATAGGAAGACTTCCTGTTTGTGGTAGGAGCTTGATGGAGGAAGGGAGAAAAAGGGCCGCTGTAGAATTACTTAGCCTTTGATGATAGATTTGTTTGGATTACTGGAGGGAGTGCAATTGGCTGGTGCCCAGCTGTGTTGCTGTTTTGCTGGCTATAATGAGCACAGTGTGCATCTGTCTGTATCTTGGTGTTCTTGTTTCTTTTACTTTTGGGAGAAGTTGGGGTCACTTATAACTGTATATCACAGCACAAAAGGTATAAGGGATTTAATTGTTTTAATAACACTTGTTAGATCTTTTGACAGGGCCTTTTTCTTCTTGCAAACAAAATATTTATATTTTTAGTTCTGTATGTATGTATATGTACTCTTTTTAACAGGTTTGCTAAATTTTAACAGCAATCACTAAATAGCAATTTAAATTCATATAATCTTTTGGGAGAAAAGAGAGAGATATTAGGAAAAAATTTCCAAATAAATGATGTAGAACATTTTTAAAAAATTGCTGTATGTACTCTTGATAATGAACAAGGTTAAAGAATTGATATTGAAATTTCAGTCTTTATTAATTTTCCAAAAGCCTATACATTTTTAATAGTATGACATTTCATGGTAGGAAATGATGAAATAGTGACCTTATAATATAAATGTGGTGTAGATATGTTTCTTACCCCACCTGAATGAAAATTAAATATCTTTATCCAAAAACATATTGCTGGGGATTTTCTCAATATTGAGTAATGTGAGAAGAATATATTACATGTTTTATAAATATCAGTGATGCAAATGGTTAGGATTTATGTTTTTCTCCTATAGAGATATTTATTTCACTGTATTTTCTTAATATGTTAATAGTAAATCTGCAATATGTATCATATTTGAGATGTTATCCAACCATGGGAACTACAAAATAATTAAACAGAAAATACAGTGAGGATGATAGTAACTCTTACAGCATGCTGTAATTTGATTTTTATGTGCTTCAATCATTTTTTGCATACAACAATATTTTTGTGCTGAAATATACATCTGTATACTATGTTTTTTCAAAATAAGTCCAATTAATAAGTCCAATTAATTTAATTGGAAATAGTTTATATCCTTAGAAAATAGCCCGTTTGCTCAGTTGATTCATATTTTGGTTTCAAAAATATTCTCATGATTTACAGGAAGATTCAAGATTTTTCTAATTAAAATTAAATTGAATTCATTGTAAATGTGAGAATGCATATTAAAAAATCCTTATAAAGTGACTCTCTAGAGAGGTTTTTTTGAGAAAGTTCATCTTAAAAATCAGTGATTCCTGTAGCAGGAATTAATTACTTAAGGGAATTAATGGGTGAAGGAAAGAAGTTCATCATTGATGAGTAGTTATCCTTCTTTTGATATTCTAATCTTCCATTGTAAGAAAATTAAAGAAATTTGAAATGGAAGAAAGTTAATATAAGACTGCAGAAATATTGTGGAAATTCAGAACAGTCTGCCTATGATAGAGTATGGCTGTGGGCTGTCATTTGTGACACCTGTTGATGACATCTGCAACCCTCACAATTATATTAAAATGTTTTTTTAATGTTCAGAAGTTAAAATAGGCAGAATTTTCTCTCCTATCATATCTTATGACATTTTGCTTGAATTCCCAAGTATATTTTGTGACATACAATTTTGGGTAATTTTGATTGTCTTTTTGACCTTTGATGGTTATCATTATTTAGAATGCTGGAGTTTGGAGGAATTGCTTAATTGCCTTTACCTATTCACTACAATATCCAAAAAAGAACTGGTGCCTAGTCTCTATTTGAGCACACCTAGTGAAACGGAATCTATTAACCTATCTGTATAATTAGATCCATTATCAAACTGCCTTTGCTGTTTGAATTTTTTTCTTAACATGTAGTAGAATTATGCCCTCCTATAACTTAAACCTATTATTCCAAATCTGTACTCTGGTATGAAAGAAAACAATCTTAACTTTTTCTATGTAATATCTTTTGGTATTTTAGGAATGCTATCAGCACCTCTCAGCTGGCTTTCTCATGGCTGAATTTTTCCCAAGTCCTTCAGCCTTTCTTCATAGAACATTTTCTATTCCCCTGATCAGCCTTGTTGCCTTCTCTGGATCTGTTTCAATTTTTATGAATATTTAAAGTGGTGTGCCCAGAATTGTACAAGTTCTTTAAGTAGTACCTGTGAAAAGCATAATACAGTGGAATGATTATTTGCTATGATTCAGAAATTATATTTCTGTTGGTGCAGTCTAAAGTTGTATTATACTTTTTTGCAACCATATTCCACAGCTGGCTTATATTCAATATGCAGTTAAGCACTTTATCAAGTACTTTCTCGCATATACCATGCCAGATAGTGTCTATTCAGTATTTGTGCAGATAATCTTTTTTCTAAGTGATGAAATTTGTTCTTGTTTCTGTTAATTCTCATTATTTTACATTCAGCCAATATCTCTATCTTGCCAAGATTATTATTTTTTCTGTGTGGTGTCCAAGTGCTGTAGATACACTATCCAATTTGCTAAGGAATCTTAGTTGTTTGTTGAGTACAATTTTTGAGTCAGCTTTGTATCCCCCTTAATTATATGCCATCCAGCCCATGCTTTCAGAATGGGGCAGCTGTAATATATCTGATTAATAATCATCATCATCATGCTTTGGTTGCTCATCAGCATGTCACGTGTTATTTTATGTAATGATTTGCTGAAAACATGATATATTATGTTCACAGAATTCCCATAATCTATTAAGGAAGTTGCCCAGTCTACATTTCTATATTTATCTATATTTATGTGTTTGTCTAACTTTTGATAATTGTTACATAGTTTTCAGGGATCCTATGAAATAATCTATTTACAATAATTTCAAAACTTTTCCCAAATATTAAGGGCAGGCTAAATATACTAAACTCATATGTGATATTAGATCTGTGTCAGTTTTCTATATCTTTTTTTTCCTTTTGATGATGGGCAGCATTTTCAGACATTTGGCATTTTGTTAATTCTTTAGGATTTCTCAAAAATAATAACTAAGTATTCCGCCAAAACATCAGTTAGTTTCTTAAGTATGATAGGAAATTATTCAAAGCATCCTTCTCTGACTCAGTTTATTATTTTGTTTTCTGATTCCAATTTCATATTACAATTCCTGACTACTTGTCTGTATGTTTCCTTTGTAACTTGGACCACTTCCTAATTTATGTATCCAGTTTTTATTTTCAAATATTCAATAAAGATGTTGATTTCTAAAGGCAAAAGTAGAGATACAAGCACTTTAGCTTTGTGCAATCTAGATCATTGTCATGTCTGATGTTATTTTATTATTTGTGCTTACAAAAAGCAGATTTGCTCAACTTACTGATCTTATTTTCATATCAATCTGCTTCTCACTTTTCTTCTAAAGAGAAAGGTAGCTAGAAATGAAATACAGTAATATAAATTTTATGTATAACTGTGCAAGTTATGTAAACTTTATTTAGTGGTAAATCCAAATGAATTCACTCCAATTTAATTTTCAAGTTAATATGCAAATACTATTATGATGCCAAGTGATAAATTAAAACTCTATATTATCTATACAGTGGTACCTAGATACTCAATTGCTTTGAAACTCATCAAATTTAGTACTCAACACATTTTGATGCAAAAATTTAGTCCTAGAACTGATAGTTTGTTTGATATTTAATGCACAAATTAGAACCTGTTGTCAGCTGCCTAGTGATGTACTACTTTATTCCTTATGGGGAAAATTTGTTTGGTACTCATGGTTTTTGGTACTGTTTGCGCCTCCCAGAACCAATTAACGATGAGTACCAAGATATCAGCAGTATAACTAAACTGGATGTTTTTAGTCACATCACAGTTACTTTGCTTTGTGAGATAGTTGGATTTTATGTTGTACAAACGTCATGGACGAGATGTTCCACAATCCATAATCACTACTGTGATTTCTATAATCAGTTATACCACTGGCACATGCATTTCAGAACATTTATATACATGCATGTATACATACACACATACCATTTTTTCAGCATATAAGACACACCTTTACCCCCCACCCTAAAGAGGGTGAAAAAAATGATGTGCAAAAAAATGATGTGCAGAGGGTTTGGGAGGCCTGCAAAGTGCTTCTGGTTGCTGGGTTAACCCTAACCCTACCCCCCTAGCTCCCAGGAGCACTCTAAAAGCATCCTAAAGACACTGCATACCCATTTTGGAGGGCAAAAAATGGGCCCATTTTTTGCTTGTCTCCCCCCTTCCCCAGAAACACTTTGCAGGCCTCTCAAACTCTCTGCATGCCCTGTTTTTCACAAAAAATGAGGCGTGCAGAGGGTGTGGGAAGTCTGCAGAGTGCAAAAACTTTTTTTTTAATTTACTTCTTCAAAATCTTGGTGAATCTTATGCTCTGAAAAATACAGCACATACCTATATACCATATATACGTAATTTCAATTTAAAACATACAACTAAAAGATGGTGTGTATACAAACCTAAAGGCATAAATAGAATTGACAGATGTTACTTTCATGATGAAATTTGATAAAGTATATATGGGATAACTTGTTTCCTAGTGCTGGGAATAGCATTCTGTAGTAGCACCAATACATTGATTATAATAGTTTTATTGTAAGTAGCTAGTTGGAAGGTAAAAGATATGTAGGAATATAGGTTTGTTAGATTTGATTGTTGTACAATGATATTTTGGGACGAATATATACAAGGCATTTTTAAGAATAATAAGCAATATTGTTTAATAGATTATCAGAAACATAAGAATAATAATACTAGTAGACAAAGATGATGCTAAAGCTACAATTGAGAATAATATCATATATAATTTGAAGACCTGAACATGAATACATCTTTTTTTCTTCCTTTGTTTTTTGTACCAGATTGCTTGATTAAAAATCAATCCATCGAATTAAATTTTTTATTCATTATTAGCCTTATAATGGTTTGATTTGCCCATTCAAACTTTTGTCTCCATTTTAGCTCAATATTCTTGTGACTTTCAACATACTCTTTCTTATTCTCACTCTTAGTTTCATGTAATGGTTAAGGCATTAGGCCAGAAACCAGGAGACAGTAAGTTAGGCATAAAGCCAGTTGGGTGACCTTTAGCCAATCACTTTCTCTCAGCCCTAGGTTGAAGACAATGGCAAAGCACTCCTGAAAACTTTCCAAGATAACAACAATTTCTGAGAATTGGAGACAATTGAACAGAAAAAACCCCAATCCCTAGGAAAATATTAGATTAGGAGAAAGGTTTTAGGTTATATGCTTCGATAGATCTAAAAAAGAAGCCCTTTGTTGGGAGAATCCTCAATTTAGCAACTTAAAATAAATTAAAGATGAGGATTTGATTAAAACAATTTATTTAATTAGAATTTGTTACCTGGTATCTATTAACATGCTCTATTAAAAAAAGGACTGATCAAATTGACTTTCAAGGGCAAAAATGTTATCAAAAATTTTCAAGGTAAAGCACCTTGTTGTATTAGTGTACATAGAATAATTATAACATTTTAAATAGAATTAATAAGAGATTTCTAAATATATATTTAATATTTATAAATTACTTTCCTTCCTCAATATTTACATATAAATAAAGTACATTAGTAGGTAATTTAATTTAATGGTATATTTTGGGTATAGGTCAGTAATATATTTGCATATATTGGTTTTTGTCCCCAAAACAGCATGCTACGGAATTGTGCAAGTACCCACTGGACCCTGGTTTTGTAGAAAATGTGAATCTCAGGAAAGAGCAGCCAGAGTGGTAAGTCTAAATTAGTCGGTATAATTTACAACATATTTATTTACTATTTCTACTAGCCGATATATATATGACTACCGAAAATGAATTACATTTATCAGGGAATGACAGTTTCTCTTTTATCAGTCAATAATGGGAATAAATAAGCATTCTATTTTTATATTTTTGCCTGGATGTTTTAATTAGTTCTAGTTTCAAAGTATAGAAAACCACGAATTTTTACTTTAAACAATATCATATTATATATTCCATGACTACATTCCTTCCTATCTCTACCCCTCACCTACCCCTTCAGAAGGGAAAAATGACCTGTGAGTAAAAGTGCAATTTTCTTTTTCTTTGAATTTCTGCTACAAATTGAAAAATAATCTAGCTGCCCAAGTTTTCTAGCAGCTTGAAAACATGGGAGGTTGCTTCTTCAGCATCTATTAGTTTCTGGTTTTTGCATCAAAACTGAAACTCTTATAAATACGTTATGGAAGTCTAAGAGAGGCAAATCTAATCCTAGATTTCATTCATTTTATTGCTGTAATTGACATATGGATACTTGGGAGTAAAAATTGCAGTCCCCAAAAATAATTTCTACAAGTATTGTCAGTGCATTCTGACAGTTTATTATTGGAAGTGGTATTAAAAAAAGCTTATTGTGATTGGAAATATACATAGAATCTTAAATTCCTATTTTGTTTTATACTTTTTTTTGAAATGGGCAAAAATGATCCACTGTTGTGGTAGATCAGACTCTGTAACTTCAAAATGATAGCACTGAATTATGTTTGAAATATGCTAACAAAATTTTAAAGATGCCTGCACTTGTACATCATGCTAAACCATAACTTAATGTAGCATACACAAATAGAATCTCAGCAGGTCTTCTGTTCTGTTCTGTTTTCCCTTATTTAGTATATTAAAGGGAGAAATAATTGTCTTTTTCTTTATGCAAATTGAGAGTTTGCATAAAGTAGGTCAATTTCAAACTTCTGAAACTGGTTTTTGTAATTATGTTAGTTAAATATAAATTATAATTCTGAAGTAACTTACATAGCTAAGTGGAAGCTGTTTTCTGATCTGCAGTATTTCGCCAATATATGCCACATAGATGCATTGGTTTTATAGTTTCTAAATTACATAATTTCATTACTGAGAACTGGGTTACTATTATGTTGGGATTACACCAAATTGGGGAAAAGGTTACTTTAGTGCATAATGTAAGATACAACTATAAATATTAGGTTATATTGTAGGATTTGCTATCTATTTTCTAGATTTAAATTTCCCGTGCACAAGAACAGAGCTCTTTATTATCTCTCTTTGTCTACTATATAGTACGTTTCTGTAACATTTTCATTGTCTTAGCCTATTATTGGCAATATATTAGGACATTGACTGATTTATTTTATTTACCAGATTTATTTAATAAGAAATAAGTGAGGATGTAATGAAGCTTAAGAATTCAGTTCTGTTCTATTGCACTTGATTGCTATTTTTTATATTAGTTACTGTATTTATATGGGTGGTTCAGTGCTGTATTTTTTCAATTATTTGATTTCTTGATGGACTCGATATCTACTACATCTTGAGGCAGACTAGCACATTGTTTTCTAGTGAGTCAGTTAAGTCCTTTGGTGGCATGCATTGTTAGGGTATGTATATGGTATGGTGTGGCACTATATACTGTATATAGCTTAGCTTTGCTTTAGATGAATTATAGTAGCTTCTTACTCAAGAAACGGATGAAACAATAGGGTGGGTTCACACATCATGCTATGATATACTTTATTTCACTGTGGGCAAGATTGATTGGGATGTTAGAGCTCAATTCCTGTTCCTTTGGGGACAGTCTGGTTGTGGTTAGCAATATGGACATTGAAAAAGAGCTGAAATGTGGATCTGTATGATCTATATGTATGGTGATGCTGAATACTGCATTCTTTATGGTTTTTCTGCTTTTCAAAAGCTCTTTGCTAAAAGAGAGATGAAACATTTATGGAAATGTAGATGGTTTACTAAATCAAGCAATTTTCAGAGAAAGGATAGTAATAATGATTTGGAATGCATGTATACCTCTCAGGTTTTTTTAAAAATGCATCACTCTTTTATTTTATATAGTTGGATATTTGGGTATCTGATACAATAAATACAGATTTGTATCTGAGCCTTAGTTTTTATCCATGATTAGAAAATAAACTTTATTTAAATGTGGTATAATATCTATAGTTACTGAAATCCATTTTGATTATTTTTGTAAAGCTTTTGAAAGGATCCTCAACAGGATCAAGGTAATTATTTTTGTAATGGTTTTGTACATTCCCACACTAATATTTGTTCCACTTCATTTTCTAAGAATAAATTAGAACTGTAAATGTAAACATCCTTATACAGATTAATTTCAGTACCTGAAATATTATTGTAACAATAGATGTCCAAGTTTGCAAGGAGAATGCTGAATTAGTTCCATTGTGACCTAGTTTTGATTGCCATCATTTTCATTTAGATAATCTTTAGTCAAGAAGTATGTGTCAATATTAATCTATTTTGCTTGTAACTAGTTCTTGATTTAATTTTTATATATATCACGAGTGTCAAACTCGCCATGTCACATTGCTGTCACGTGACGTATCACAATGTTTTTCCCTTTGTGGAACTGGAGTGTGTGTGGTCTGGTGTGTGGGAGGCATCCGGTTCGCTGGCTGCCAGTTTGATACGTCTGATATACATGGTTTGATTTTAAATTCTGTTCCATGTTTTTATTACATGTATTATTGTTCATACAATTATGCAGAATCCTGCTCAGAACCTTCTAGAGCTCATGTGTTGCTTGGTTGGCAAGTCCATTCCTCAAATATGTCACTCAACAAGGTATGGCTCCTGCCAAGCTTTTTGAATGCTTTAACCATCGTAGTATTTGCATATTTATGCTTGAAGATATTATTTCTCTACTTTGCATACATTCTTCCTTTTAAAAACTTTTTTTTCCTTAACATTTTTAAAATTATCTTCAAAACTCCATAGATACGTTCAGGACAGGAGAGCCTTCTATTGCAAGCTTTCAGTGTCATGACTCTCAGGGACTCATTTACTTGTCAGCATTGTTAGACATTTATTAAACAGGCTCATCAAAATCATTCTTTTAGTTTGTGAGTCTCTCTTTGAACTTCCTGAAACAAGCATTAAGGGTAGTAGAATCCAAAGCTATCGTAACTCCTTTGTTCTTCTTTATGTCTCCTACCATATCTCCAAAATTGCCTGGCAGCTTCCTTGTCTGAGAGATCTGCTGATCTCCGCCTCCTGTAAAAAACACTTAATGTCTGTGTTGCACTATTGTTAGCCCCCCAAAATTCCTCTTTGAGATTCGAAACTTTCTAAGAGGCCTACCTGCCTCATTCCAGCCAGAACCAAAAAATAAAATAAAATTGGAACCATACAAACTAGGGTCCTTTTAACCTCTGAGGCCCAAAGCTTGGGGGAACAGCTAGGTCTTAAGAAAGGCTAATAGGGTCAAACTATCTGGATCTCCCAAGGGAATGCTGTTCCATAAGGCAGGCAGTATGATAGGATTATCTTTAGCCATAAAGTTATTTCCTTCCAAAACCAGTCTTAATCTTCCACCTGAATCACAACATTATATTGCCACATTTTGCCAATTACTCAAGTCACTGAAAGTTTTTGTATATCTACAATATTCTCATATTTTATTTGGAGAACAAGATATTCTTTTGCTGGAAGCAAATTTTATTTCTGGTTTTTCTGTGGCATTTAAAGGCCATAGATAATTAATCCCTTAGCATTCTCCAAATGGAGGTGGCGATCATATTTTGTTGTGTTAGCAAAACAGCCATGTCTCCTTTTTACTTGTGCTCACTTTTCAAAACTGATGGTAGCATTATCACTATTCCCCTATGGCGATTCCATAATGAACTTATGCTGGGTAGCCACATGGGTCCAGTCTTCTCCTTTTCATATATTTCTGTAGACTGCACTTCTATTCCTATAGAATTGCAAGGTTTGGAAGGGCTATTCCTACTGTGGCAAGTCTCTCTTCTAGGTGAGAAATTGTTAGGAATCCATGTTTGTGAATCTCACAGACAACAGTGAAAAACTGGTTGCTTAGCAATCAGTTCAGTTCTTTGATTGGTTGTCTGTGAATTTATACAACCCACCCTACTACTCCACTAGGTGTCAGATGACTATTGTTCCTTTGGTTCTGCTGCATCAGTTTTAGCAATTCAAGTGACTTGGTAGAACCTTTAGTTTAAGTTATTTGCAATTGAGACTTTGTATAGAGACATAAGCCTTGAATGTGAAATTGTAAAAATCATTTAAAGAATTATTGTAATTAGAGCAATGTAAGTAATTCATAGCTACTATCTCATGGAAAAACAAATCTGTATTTAATAATACAGTATGTAGAATGATAAACTCAATACGAGTAGTATTAGGAAGGAATAGGAAATACAATGGGGTCTTGATTCTATTGTATAAATCTCTACTGTATGGGATGATTACACCTAACAAACAATTTACCATTTGAGTAAATGTGTGTGTATGTTTAGTTTAAAATGCAGGTAGCCCTCATCTAGTGACTATAACTAGGTCTGGCAACTTTATTAAGTGAAGTGATCACTAAGTGAAATTGTCACTATTCATGATCTTATTTCAGCTTTCCTTTCCAAGGTTGTAAATATGAAAATCACTTGTAAAATTACTTTTTTCATCATTGTTGTAACTGCAAATGGTCATTGCATGAGACAGTTACTAAATGTGGACTACCTGTATTGTATAACTGCTCATCTTAGATCACATCTCCATGTGGTTCATAACTGATAAACTACAAAAACTAACCATAGTTTTACAAACTGAAAGTAAAAACCTGGAGTCTCAGACATTCTGTTAGTATGCCTTGATAACCCATCCATAGGCTCCCCTGCACTATACCCCAGTGCATGTCAGAAAGAAAAAAAATGAGTCAGATTCCTTCAACAGAGAATCTTCACCAAGTGGAAGTCTGAACCTTGTATTTGAGGCTAGACTTCTAGATCAGTGTAATCATATTTCTCTCTTGAAACAAAAGTAATTAGCATATTTTAACAATACAATGTTCAATTTTATTAAGATGTACTTTAGGATTATCCCCACATTTTAAACTAGTAGGTATATCTAGCTTTCCAAGACTAACATAGGACGTTCTTTCATTAAATAGTTGCTGTTAGGAGTATGATTTGTTAGGCTGGATGAAAATTAATTTTATTATGATTCAATGTAGGTGACATACATGGAAATGGAAGTTTAGAATAAATGCAAATTTAATTTAATTATTCAGTACTTTTTATCTAGTCTTCCAAAAATCTTCCTTTTTCAAAGCTAATCCTCTTTACTTCTCTTCAATATATCAGTTTCTCCATTTTATTTTGCTTAACACTACTTTTCTTTTTCCATTTACTTCTTGGGTCACATAGCTTCCTTTTCCTATAATATTGTATTATCTACATTAGACTTGCAGAACTTCTAGAGAGGAAAAAGCCATTGAGAAATTAAAACTAATAACAGGCCACAAAGGAATACCTGGCATGCCAATCAGCTGTTTGGCAGCTAGTAGCACAGTGATAGGGAGAGTGCTGGTAATGTTGATGAGCCTTGGAGGTATTGAGATGCTCAGTAGTATGTCTCGGCGGGTCCTGGCAATGGGAACATTGGCAGCAGGGGATTTAATGAATTTCAGAAAATTCCAACAGGCCCCACAAAGCTATTTGGCTGGCAAATCCTATGTTGTGCAGACTTGCTCCAAAGTCTTATCGTAGATGCTATAGTGTGATTCCCAAATGCCACATTCCTGGCACACCAAAGAGCAAGAATCATGTGCATTTCAAAAAGGCCTCTTTAATAGTAGTCTGAGAAAAAAGAGTAAATTCACAGTCAAACTCCTAGTAAGTTAATTAAGGTGGAGTCTCTCTCAGATGTTTCCTTTGCATGACCCTTACATCTTGGCTGTGTTACCTTTTTTCACCTAAACTGTATTTGTCTTCCTTCACTTTCTTTTGAGTCTCTCACAGCATTCTCTTTTACTGGGCAATGGTAATAAAGTCTGACCTTTCCCTTTTCTCCTTGAAATATGCCTGACTAAGTGGAAAAAATGAAAATGAAATAAATATTAGGTGTGAGAAAGGGCAAAGGAAAATGTCTGTGGCTGAAGTGCACCCGCAATAACCATTATCTACAATTTACCCTGTGGAGGATTCTTCCCCACTGCGGAGACAATGAATTGTTCTTTTCATTGCTTCCAGTATACATTGGTGTGGTTGTCTGAAAAACATTGGAATTGTAGATTCGAAGGATATATATTTGGGGATGATTGTTATAAAATATGAAGATACTGTGTTTTTAAAATTATATTTCAAAATATTGAAAATGAAGAGATAAATATCTGACAGATCTCAAAATGCTTTATACCGGTGTCTTCACTGAAGTTTTTCTTATGCAGAAGCATCTGCAGTAATCTGTCTCATGTTGGAGTTGTGTACACACAGAACTAAAAGACTTAAGAAATTTTTATCATCTCCTATGGATCAATGTACATTCATATGGAACTAGTAACAATAATGGGAAAATATGGATTAAGGCAAAGGAAGTTTTTTAATGCATGAAAAATTCTCCTACTTTCCTTAACTGGAAAATCTAAATTACAAGCTAAAGATATTTCATACATTATGTTTTTCTTTTTTTGCTGTTCATAATTGTGTTTATTTTCCTTTAGAAATGTGAGTTGTGCCCTCACAAAGATGGTGCTTTAAAGAGGACTGATGGTGGGGGTAAGTATTTAAAAACTTTTCTTTCAAATTCTTTGCTTATTAAATTACATTTTATATAACTGCTTACCTCTTTTTCTTTAGTTCTGTTTCTGGACATATATAAACATGTCTAGAAGAGAAACATCTTGAATGGTGTATGTGATACTTGGCTTGATTGTTCTGTTATTCTATCTGAATGTTATTTTAGTTTCTTTATATTTAAGCTTTTAACCTCTTATAACCTGGTTACAGTAATTTTTGTGAGTTGAACAGCCATATAAATCAAATTAAAAAAGAAATAATACAATTAACTGGTATTATGAGTGGTAAAAGCTATACATTTTTTGAGACAGTAAAAATCTTTTAAATTTTTGTATACCATTTATTGTATTTGATAATGTAAATGTTCATCAGTATAACATATGTTTGATTTTACATATGGGCATGAATTTGAGAAAATCATTTTCTTCCTTAATTCATATCTTCTTACACATGGTAAATAAGAATAGTATTATATTAGAGGACTGTATATATATTGTACTCTGAACTGATGCTGAAATTCTTTAGTGAACTTTATAATTCCATCTGAAGCTTTAATTTACTGCTCTCAAGTTGCATGTGTAAAATGAGGTGCAAGTATTCAGTGATACAGTAATGTAAAACTAAAATTATTATCTTCCGCATTTGCTTTGGCAAATTGTGGAAAGAAATGAAAATCTTTCTTTTCCTACAAGCTGATCCTTACAAATGCAAATAAATTCAGATTTGCTTTTTAAATATAAATTTCATAACTAAGCACTTAGCTCTGCATTCAAGTCTTAACTTTCCATTTAAAAATCCATAGCATACTTAGTAATTACAACTACTTCAGCATAAAAATGGCAATGCTAATTTAAAGCCAAACATAATAAACTATGTAGCAATTCTGTAGAACAATAGAAATGTAAATTAGGCTCTGATGTTACTAAACCCTGGTAGAATAGTAGTTTTTGTTTAATGTCTGAAATAAAGGAGGGAGTATAATCACCATGAAGTGGAAACTGATAGTTTCAGTGCCACTGCTGAGAAGGCCTTACCATGCAGCAAATACTTGAAGTAATGAAGAATTTGTAAGTGGTTCACTTTGCAAAAATTGGACTTTTAGCATTTTCTAATTTAAATTAATTTAGGATTTATAATCCTAGCAGGATTATAAAAATACTTTTACAAATTTATTGAGTGCAGAATTCGTTTTCTTAATTCACATTTCTCTGGTCATGGCTTCCTGAAATATAAGGCATTTAATACTGTTTATGTATTTTACATACCGTGTTTCCTCGAAAATATGACATGTCCTGATAATAAGGCCATGCCACATTTTTCTGGTGGGGAAAAATATATGGCCTCCCCTGCAAATAAGCCCCCTGGACAACTGCCCCATTCCGGCCAGGCAGAGCTCCGCTCACCAACCTAGTAGTATCCCGAAGATGCCAAGCCGCGGGAACTGGGGGTGGATGGGGGGCAAAGGTGATCGTGTTGCTTGGCGCCTTTGGGATATCCCTGGGTTGGTGAGCAGCGCTGTGTCCAACTGGGGAGGGAGATTGCCGGGCGGCTGCTCTCTTGTGAGCAGGCTCCCAAAGAGCCAGGCACAGCCTCAGGGGCGAACGGCTGTGTTGCGCTGTTGCAGCAGCACAACACAGCAGCCATGAAGCAACCATGCTCACGAGCAGCCACCTGGCAAAACCCCTTTCCAGCTGGGCACAGCACCATTCACTGACATGGGGTATCGCCAATCCACCTGAGCGCCTGTTCGCCGCTGCCCGGCTCTCGTGGCTTGCCTTCAAAATGCCAGTGAATGGCACTCTGCACGGCTGGAGAGGGGGGTTGCTCAAGCGCTGTTCCGCTCGTGGGCCTTCCAGCCTCACAATGCCCTGGCCCAGCTCTCCCTGCTGAACCAGGATACCTCCGCTGCTGCCCGCTGCCATCCCAGTATGGCTTTTTCAGCGGCTTCCAAACCGAGTCTTCTGGCAATGGCCACTCTGGGCGTACGCGCTGGCATTTCAAAGACCCCAAGCCATGGGAGCGGGCAGCAGGAAATGCGTTCGTGCGGCTTGGCGATACCCCTAGGTGAATGGCACTGTGCCCAGCTGGAAAGGGGGTTTGCCAGGTGGCTGCTCGTGAGCGTGGTCGTTTCATGTCTGCTGTGATGCGCCATTTGCCCCTGAGGCTGTGCCCGGCTCTTTGGAAGCCCGCTCGCAAGAGAGCAGCCACCCGGCAACCCCAAAACAATAAGCCCTCCCCTGATAATAAGGCCCAAGCCATATTTTGTGAGTCAAAAGAAAATAAGATCCTGTCTTATTTTCAGGGAAACATGGTATATATGCACACAAGTATGTGTTTGAGTGAGACACAGACACATACAGAAACACACACCTCTATTGACTCATATGCATATGATATCTTTACATTATTTAGCTCCTAGATTTGTAATTATACTGCTTTGCTTTAGTGGTTATAATACAGAACTTGTAAATTTTTAATTTTATTATTTAAGACTTCAAAATGTGCTTTATTAGAAGAAGCCAGCCTTTTTCATAATTACTTTTTGTTTGTTTAGTGATTTATTAGCATGATATTTTTTTCCATGAATTCATATATGGATTAAAGATTGGATGTTTTCACAAGTACTATCTTTGAATAAAAGGTTGATGGTGTTTTTTAATACTGCTTTTAAGAATGTTCACTTAAACTTTGCTGTTTGTGTGTGCAATGTTGCTACTACATGAATAAATCATTAGTTAATGCTTGAGTGGATGCTATAATGAATGTTGTAATTGTAACCAGTTACAATGGAAGAAGACAAGCACCAGGTTTTCTGATAAATACCATATTTTTCAGACTATAAGATGCACCGGAGTATAATACGCACCAAGATTTTGAAGAGGTAAATTAAAAAAAAAATTTTTTTTGCCCTTCCCAGCCCTCAGGAGCTAGAACCCACTGCATGCCCCATTTTTTTTGTGAAAAACAGGGTAGGCAGAGAGTTTGAGAGGCCTACAAAGTGCTCCTGGGGGCTGGGCAGGGCAAAAATAATAAAAAAAACAGTCTGTTTTTTGTGAAAATGGGTCCATTTTTTTTGCAAAAAATGGGGCATGCAGAGCGTTTGGAAGGATTGCAGAGTGCTTGGGAAGACAAAAACACCCCCATTTTTGTGAAAAACGGGCCCGTTTTCACTTGTTTTTACCCTCCCTAGCCCCCAGGAGCACTCTACAGGCCTCCCAAACCTCTGCATGGCTCATTTTTTGCAAAAAATAGGATGCGTGGGGCAGGGTGTCAGGAGGCCAAAAATGCTGTATTCACTGTATAAGACGCACCCAGATTTTCACCCCTTTTTTTGGGGGGGGGGGAGAAAGTGCATCTTATACTCCGAAAATATGGTAAGTTGACTTTCCCTCTGAATTCTATGGATACAGTAGATTTTTTCCGAATGGTTTCTGCTGCTCTACTGGAACTCTGGTTGATTTCTAGAAAGCACTTAAGGGTAAAGACATATGATGGTCATGGAGAAGGCTTACAATAACCTGATGTCTTCTGCATGCTTTATTTATAATTCCCTTGATCCTTGCATACCTATCATAATCTTGATGTGATATGAACTGTAAACTAAAATAAAAAAGATAACTCATTTTAGACGTTTGCTTTAGAAAATGTACTCTTGTGAATAATCTGATACGTTCGATTCTTTTTAAAAGTGAGAACACGTGAAATGGAAAGGTAAAATAAAAGTTGAGGCAAGTCAAGCTGAGCATGGGTTTAAATCTAGGTTTATTATTTATTATTATCATTCTAGCCTACCTCCAAAGTGTTTAGAAAGTAAAATGGCATTATTTAAAAACAAATTATCTTCCATTTTGTTCTCACAGGAGGGATGGTGATAGTTATTTTATGATGATAGGGAAATCTAGCTGAGTAGATTGCTGTCAAGATTATGATTACTTTCTGCCCTCTCTTCAGGAAATTTTACCATGGATGGTAATGATCCTCTTGGGCAAGGAAAGCAGGTCCATTCAAAGAATCTTGTATGTTAATGAGTAAAGTTGTATAGTGATTATAATCTGCCTTTCTTGTTCTCTTACCTTTTTTTTAAAAACCCACCTTTTATCTGTCCAATGCCATCTAGTGGAGCTTTAGTGAGATGCAGACAATGTGTTCAACCTATCTAACTTGATGTTTACTTTTGAGATTTTTCTAGATAGATACTCATTTATTAGTGTGTTTTCTGTAACTTACATGGATAGTATTTTATGCTACATGCTCGCTGTGTGTGTGTGTGTCCGTGTCGCCTGAGGGATACATATTTGCCATATATGGCTGCACACCAATTTTAAAATAAATATAATTAATCTATCAAACATTGCATTATTTATTCATGTTAATAATTTTGTATTATTAGAAGAGATTCTCTAAACCTTTAGAAATATCTTCAGAAGTCTCTTCTTAATTATGCATGGCTAAACATGAAAATCATCCCTAGCTTTTCCTAGATGTCTCAAAGGTGCTTTTTCAAGAGGAAACTAGACTTTCTGGTTTTTCTTTGAAGACGTTTCGCTTATCATCCAAGAAGCTTTATCAGCTCTAGGGTTTTTTGCTAGGAAAAAAATTAACAACAAAATTGTTACACATTGTTTTATGTGTTTTGAATCACCAAAGTTCAGATTAAAATCTTGAAAAATTGTAAACTATCCTAAAGATAAAGGACAGACATCTAGTGTGCAGAATTGCTAAATATGAATGCAGGATGCATCTTGATGATTTGTTTGTAATTGTTCTTAGACAGTGGTGACTTCACACCTTTTGTGTGCTTAGTTACTATCCTTCCACTTTCAGTAAATTGTTTCACTTAATCTTGTAGTATTGCATAATTATTTTTCATCTGAGGAACTAGCAAAAACATCTTAATCTTTTTTGTATAACATTTAACTCTAATTTAAAATCCAAAAGGTTTCTCTCGTTGATAATATATAGCAAGATTTCAACAACAA